CTCGAGGGAGCTCAGCAGGCCCCAGTGGTGGACTGCGAAGTTATAGCAGCAAAGTTGAGCGTCTCTTGCGATATTACAAGGCAGCCCTGCAGGGGCCAGCCAGATCGGGACCGCCCAGCGGTGCTAACTCAGTGTCTCAGTGAATCCGCATCCTCCCCTCTGGCCCACAGCCAACCGGTGGCAGTGCCAGAGGAGGCCAACCGTCAGCTGGCTGAAAAGTATGCAGACGGAGAGTAATTTCAGCAAAGCATACTTTATTCAGTCAGGAACAAGACGGCTTTGGCCTGCTCGCAGGCCGGCTTATATTCCCCAAGACACCGCCACCCAAAACACACCCCCACTTCCCAATAGGTTATTTACAGTGGCCGAGAGTCCCATTGGCTTCTCGGCCAGGAACCCGGCCCCCTGATTGGAGCGGGCTAGGATCCGCATAGTCCATTGTCTCTTGGAGCGAAGCTCTACGGTTGCCCCTGGACATGTCTGGACTTGTCTGGACTTGATACACTACACTGGCATCGACCAGTATTGCCACTGAGAGAAGCGAGCCATCTGGTCCTGGCCTGGCCATGCTAGGAGAGTTACGAAGGCGGGGCTCTCCAGGCAGCGGCCTGCCAGGAACTTCCTTGTAAGTTAAGCACCCAGCCTGCCCCAGGGAGTCTCCCAAGATTTGCAACTTCTCCTAGGTCCCCTTTGGTCCTGCCGCTCTTTTGGAACGCCCCGTTTCCTGCTGGACTTGGTTATAGAAACAAGACTTTTCAGCTTCCGAGGGGAGCCATGTTGGCTTGCCGTAGGACAGCTTGGTTTGAGTCCAGTAGCTCCTTACAAGGTAGGGTTGCCAAGTGACCAAGAAGTGACGTGACAACGCTGGGCAGGCTGGGGGCAGGGCCACAACCATCCGAGGGAAAACCATAGAGTTTTCCCTCGGATGACTATGGCCCCGCCCCCAGCGTGCCCGGCGTGATAGCGTCACTTCCTGGTGACGTGCACGTCAGGGTGGAGTTCCCCCCGGGGCCCGATCCGGCGGCGGGGAACGGGCCTCTGGGGCGGGGGTTTCCCCGCCCCTCGGGGGGGGGCACTCCGCAAGCCAATTTCCAGGGCACGAGCTTTAAAGAGTCAAAGCTCCCGTCGTTCAATTTATAGGAAAGGATATAACCGACTTCGGCAGGGAAGGATTGCTGTCTTGTTTTAGGGTTGGCGCCACAGTAAGGTTGCCAGGTCAGGTCGACCAGGTGGCAGGGGAGGGACTTTCCGGGAGCGAGGGGAAGCGCAACACGCGTGCAGTGTAATAAGGTGACATGGAAGTGACGTCATCACGTCAGCGACACCGTCTGGCGACATTCTGGTATTTTGGGCCAAACTCTATGGTGACCATAGAGTTTTGCCCCCCAAAAACAGTGTTGCCGCATGGCGTCGCCGATGTGATGACATCACTTCCGTGTGACGTCATCACGTCAGCGACACCGTCTGGCGACATTCTGGTATTTTGGGCCAAACTCTATGGTGACCATAGAGTTTTGCCCCCCAAAAACAGTGTTGCCGCATGGCGTCGCCAGTGTGATTACATCACTTCCGTGTGACGTCATCACGTCGCATTTGGGGGCAGGATTTCTCCCCACCGGCCAGCTGGCCACCGGCGGGGGCCCCCCCAAAAATTGGGGGATTCCGCACTCCCAACTGGCGAATGGCATCCTTAAGTAAGAGTGAGTGGACTGTGCCTCCAGTTTATAATTGAAGATGAAGGTGCATCTTGGTTATTGGAAATTTGGGAAGTGCCTAGTTAAAGATACAGAGGATTCCCCAAATTACAGGTTCCAGAAAAGGGACCTTTGCCCAGGGGGGGTGGGGGTCGTTATCCTGGGTTTGTATGATGCCATGGGACTGAGTGCTTTCCCTTCCTTCTTTTCCAGCTCCGGCTCCGGCTCCGACTCCGGGTCCAGGCCTCTCTGCCGGGGCGATAGTCGGGATTGTCATCGGGTGCCTTCTAGGAGTCGTCCTCATTGGTGTGGTGGTGTATTTTGCATTAAAGAGCACCGCCTTGGGGTGAGTAGCCCATACAGGGTGGCCTGTGGATCGGGGCCCCTGGACTTTTGCCCTCTCCCCCGCCTTCGCCAAGGCCTTTCTGCTCTGATCACCGGGTTTGGTTTGGCCTCTATGCTCACTCTCGGGGGTTCCATGGCGTGGCACTGGTGCGGGTGTCTTTCCTGTCTTCTCTGCCCTGGGTTGGAATCTCTTGGAAACGCTGAGCGTCCTGCCGTTTATCCTCCCTGCTGAAGCGCGCAGACGCCAACTCGCGTCGCCCGCTTCGGCGTGAGGAAGAGGAGGCGTCTGCCGCACTCAGAATGATTTGACGGAAGACACTGCGTTTTGTTTAAATTCTCCGCTGGGGGTGAGGCTCAGTGGCAGAGAACCCGTTCTGTGTGCCGAAGATTCCAAGTTCGATCCCCGGCATCTCCAGTTTAAAACTGAAACCCTGGAGAGCCGCTACCTGCAGAGTAGGTGATACTGTCCTTGGAAGTCCAAGGGTCTGACGCCAAGTAAGGCAGCTTCGAGTATTCAAATAGTCAACTGTTTTCCTGCGCAGAACCTGGAAAATCTGCCGTCCCCAATTTGAACACAGACCCATTGTGTAAGTTACACTATTAAACAGAACTGTACGGAATAAGGGAGTGAATGGCTCAAAGATCTATCAAAGTATTTTAAAAAAACAAACACAGTATTAACTATTATACTAATTGTAATACTGGGGCTGTGGTGGCTCCGAGGTTAAGACGCTGAGCTGCAGACCGGAAGGTCTGCAGTCCGGCAGTTTGAGACCCGAGTGCCCCGTGATGGAGTGAGCTCCCGTCTCCGGCCCCGGCTCCTGCCAACCTAGAAGTTCAAAAGCAAGAAATCGCAAGTAGATAAATAGGTACCGCTTCGGTGGGAAGGGAACAGCGTTCCGTGCGCCTCGGCGTTTAGTCATGCCGGCCACGTGACCACGGAAACGTCTTTGGACAGCGCTGACTCTTAGGCTTGGGAACGGAGATGGGCACCGCAACCCTAGAGTCGGATTCGACTGGCTTTTGAGCAAGGGAAACCTAATTGTAATACTATAATTTCAGAGGGGAGCCATGCCGTAGAACAGCTCGATTCGAGTCCAGTAGCCCCTTAGAGAATAATAATAATAATAACAACAATAATAATAACAATAGCAATAATAATAATAATAGCAATAATAATAATAAAAATAGCAATAATAATAATAAAAATAATAATAATAATAATAGAAGAGGCCAATAAGATTTTCAGAGTATGAGCTTTGATTCTAGAAAGCTCATACCACGAAAATCTGACCGGTCTCTAAGATGCTACCGGAGTTTGTTTATTTATTTATTTATTTATTTATTTATAAATTCGATTTATAGCCCTCCCTCCCCGCAGCGCGGGCTCAGAGCGGCTCACAAATAGGCATAAGCCAACAGATAAAACAAATTAAAACCATATAAAACCATGACTTCATTTACATCAAAATAAGTGCTCTAGCTGTTCCAGTCTGATCTTCCACAAGATGGTACATCTACTCAGTGCTCTCAGTTCCACGCGACACTGTCGTTCTCTCTTCCCAAAGCCAGACAATACTGATGGTAACATCACGGTGGTACAGTAGTGGCGGCGGCTCCTACTCGAAAGCCTGGCGGAAGAGCTCCGTCTTGCAGGCCCTGCGGAACTGCACAAGGTCCCGGATCTCCTCCGGGGGCTCGTTCCACCAGGCAGGAGCCGCCACCGAAAAAGCTCTGGCCCTGGTAGCGGCCAGCCTGGCCTCCTTGGGGCCTGGCATCGTCAGGAGGTGTTGTGTCCCCGACCGTAGTTGAATCTAGGGGTGATACTATCATCTTGGACTAATAAGACTTAACATCAAGAGCACCGCACTTTGCTGAATGATTGTTTTTATGCTGTTTTAATTGTTTGCGATGGCATTTGCCTCTTTCGCTAGCCGCCCTGAGCCCATTTGGGGAGGGCGGGATATAAATCTAATAA